TCCTCCACATGGAGTATTTGCGCTCTCCTTTTTCCACCACTGACTCCCAGCCATCAGACCTTGATTTGCTCTTCTCAGCTAGATTAAAGAGCCTCACTACTCTCTTCTGTCTTTTCCTTGCCCAGCTTCTTAGACCACCAAGTTGTCTTTTAATCTTGAGTTGAAAAAATCCTAACCAACATTGAACTCCTTTCAGTGTTTGTGCTATTGAGAGTATTCGTGAAGGATGATCTGACTTTTAGGAGGAACGTATGTGCAAAGCAGATATCCATGGCGATGGGCACCTATGTAAAAACCCAGGCTGACAGCTCCAGTAAACACTCTCTTGCAGAGCAGTGGCAGGTCCATTCATCACGCGACCTATACACAAAGTACTGTCAAACATGTAAGGTAAACAAGCAGGGGGCAAAAAAGGGATGAGGAAAGAAATAAAAAGGCCTCTCTAAGGCCTTTTTGTTTTAAGAGCCTCTCTGATTTCTCATGACTATAATAAATACATAACTTTGAGATAATTTTTGAGTGGACGGCATCATTTCAAGTGGTCTGCTGAAATATGTGCCGTAAATCAGTGGGAGAGTCAGGAAGGAAATCCAGTTTGCCAATTCTTTGCCCACTTTAATATCCACTCACTTCTCACTTTTTTTGTTTTTGCCTTCACCCTTCATAATGCAGCATCTCACTGTGTGCCACTTGCAGGAGCCATACAGAAAACATAATCCCATTATTTTCCCAGGGAAAGAGGGAAAACAAGCCTTTAAGAGAAACAAGCACACAACCTTTGCATTGCTGGCACATTGCCGAGCCCAAGGGCTGCACTTAATTTACATATAAATGTGCCCAGGATTCTAATCAGACATTAATGCACTCTCTTGTTATTTTTCACTTATAGTGTTCGTAATGCACGTGGTGCTTGGCAAATCGCATGGGGCAAATGTACTTGGAGGAATGCAGTGGCAAGCATATTTGTGGCACCACTTTTTGGATTGATGGCTGGCTTTATTTCAGAGACTGCCCTGGGCCTGAGGAAGTGCTGGCTTCGGTCCTTCAGGGATACTGCAAAATCTGGCCAAGGGTAACATAAAGAGCTGGCTTACAGACTGCTCAGTTGGATTTCAGCTGCCTCGTGTAAAAATGCAGTAGTGCCTCCGTAGCATAGAGTCCCAGTGGATGGGAACATCTGTTTTTTTGTCTTGTTCAGAAATGCATCTGCAAAATCTTGGAACTTTTTTATTCACTTTGAAATTTTAGGATCTCTGCTGGTGTTTCTTCTTACTTCTTGATTTGTTTAGCTCAGACGTCATTACCTTGTTCATACTTCTCTTCTAATTAGCAGGCAGCTGGGAAGAGCGCACCACAAAAGCTGTCCAAGAAAAGCCTTAGAGCTGCTCCCAAAGGCCTATCCTCCCCTCTGCTCTCCTGGCCCTGAAAACAAAGTCCTGTCTTTTTTTAGTATCTGTTAATATCTATAAGCTTTGAAGTAAGTGGTCTTTTCTCAACTTGTAGTCTTATCCAGGAATGTTCTTGGCCATTCCCATACATTCACTCAGCTAAAGTGGGTGAGAGCCTACCTATGGACTGCCCCAGGTAATACTTTGCGGATCCTTATGCCAGCTCTATCAGCCTTTTTGCTCTTCAAGCCATCGTGAAGCAGTGCTGATACTCAAGTGTCATTATTAGTCTTCAGAGTCAACACCTCATACAAAGATGAAGTTTGACATCCATCTGGAAAGTGTCCTTACCCAAGTAGTGTCTATAGCTATGTAGAGAGATTGGTTAAATATTCAGGCAGCATGTGCATTCTTGTGGGTACTGACTTTAGACCCATATTTGGCTAGACAGCAAGGAGACATTTTGTGCAGGACATTCAAGAGTATGGTAGAAGGTGTTCCTGGGGCAATGTGAGGGTTTCCATGTGGAAAACCTGTAAGTGAACAAAGACCTTCTTCTTACTTACCAAGCTGCTGTGTGGTGGTGACAGGTGAAATGACAAGACATATTGAGCAAAAGGAATTAATTTGTATCTGGGACCTTTTAATAAATCAAAAGTAAAAAGAAGAACCAGTGTAGCAGACCCGTTGGCAGTTGCTAACACTTGTTCAATGATCCTTTCCTTCTGAAATACAGAAATGGAAAGTAACTGTTGCCAGGAGTCATAAAATGAAGGAATGACTCAGAAGATAGATTTATTATCAGCTCTATATTGGTGAAATTCAGCTTCATAAACAGAGGTTAATCTGCTAAAACCTTCTGTGCTCTCACTGGGGGAAAACCGTACTTGCTTCAAATTTTGTTTAAAGATCTAAAATAATTCTTCTTGTCTTCTGAAGAAATCAGCATCTCTAGGAGCACTAATGTTCATCATTTTTTTTCTTGAACCTTGCCTACGTGGATTTTATTTTTTTTATTTATTTCCATGAGGTGTCATTTATTATGGGCTCTTCTCATCCCTGCGATGTAATTTCTCTTCTGGACTTCTAGGCATTTTCATCACAGTTCACTACGTATTTCACCCATGTTTCTACAGAAAGTCATTACGTAGCACAGGCTGCTGCCGAGAAGAATATTTAGAATACACCCTGCCTTTGTCTTCTAGTGCTGTGTTACTCACCTTTGTTGGGTGAATAATATATCTGAGCAAGAAGGACATGGATCTGATATTACTAGAAAAAGACCTAGGCCCATACATGACTAGAATTGGTACTGCTTCTCTCCCCTTCCACTCTATTCTATCTATCTATGATTGGTTGGTCAAGTTGTATGAAAATACTTGTCAGTTCAAACTTACATTAAAAAACATAATAAAAAAATCACAAATTGCAAAAATTATTTAGAAAATTTTAGAGAGAGATTTGTCCTGTAAGACAAATGCAAGTACATCAGTCATCTCTATAACTGTGTGGTGAGTTTTGTGCTTCCTCCTGCCCAGAGCAGAGTTGGATGGGGGATGTCAGGAGCCGGGGCCTGGCTCCTTGGGAACAGGCAGCATCCCTTCTTGCTCTGTGGGCTCCTCTGTCTTATGCCAGGAATGGTAGTTCCTTAGGACAGAAGTTACATCATTCCCCTCTTGCTGCTACCCATCATAAAAGCAATTTAATAAGTTTGCCAGTAAACTTCAGTATAAGATGTTTTCTGCTGTGAAATGTTTGGGAGGGTTGGCATCAGGGCTGTTCATAGCATCAGACATCAGACACTCTGTCATGCTATCAAATCCATCCCTTCTGCTGATGTCTCAGGAGCACAGGACCATCATTTTCATGGCTGCTATTCAAGAAATGGAATAGACTTACCAGTTAACTTTTGAACCAAAGGTCTTGTCTGAATCCAGTGTCATAAAGGGATTAATTGCTGATATAATCTAAAAAGCTAGATTTGATGTATAACTTGAAAGACTGGGGCTGAGGAATAATGCAGATAAATGACATCTGAACTTTACATACCTCATTTAGAAGGACTCCTGGTAGTACTGGTGAGGAGGATCCCTCCTTGGCAGCCCGTGCTCTGCAGAGTGTCTGAGCACAGAGCCTGCACCTTCCTTAGCAGTGCCCAAAGTCTGCCTGAAACACCTCTCTGCCTATTTACGTGTCTTCCAAGATTTTCTAAGACTTCAGGCTGTCATAGAAATTTTCCGTTCAGCATGATCCTTAAAAAAACAAAGACAAAAGACATGAACATCCCTTATTGGTACTGATCTTAGAGCACATCTTTCTTTAGTGATTAATTGAGTGTTGTTCTAAGTGGCACCAAGCACATCTGAGACTAAATTCTAGTTTCTTGTGTTCCTGTCATGCCCTGCAACTTCTCCACCAGTTTCCATCTACTAATGACATGAGTTAACTGTTATTTTTAGCATATCTCAAGCTTGAGAGCTACCACATTAGTGTGTCACCCAAGATTTAATTTAATTTAATAATGCTGTATTAGGAGAGGAAAATGTTCTTGGTATATGTGTTGCAGAAATGGTGGGAAAGTGCATTTGCTTATTTTGATGCTGTGTGTGGTACTGGCATATTTGATCGTCTGTGCATTCACAATCAGTGCTCAAGTCAGTGAAGGTTTGGACTATACAAATACAAGCAGGTCTTCCAGTGCTTGTAGGTGTTTCTTGATTAAGGGCCCCCTATCTGTTTTTATGTGTTGTCTTCACAGTTTTGGTGTTAATTTCAGGAGCAGGATGGATTTCTAAATCATTTTAGGCAGAAATGAGGTGGATGGAAGTCCTTCATGGCAGGTACCATGCGGGAGTGGGGCTGGTACTTCAGTGGAGTGATAGGTACCCTGTGTCTCTGAGGCTCTGTTATATACAAAGACACTTTTGTGGTTTCTTAGGACCAGGTAGAAAACCAGCTGATGTTTTCTTAAAGCAGGTGGTAGAGTGGCCGAACCCTTCCTTTCTCCATGATAGAAGTAGATATACTGGTTGTCTAAAAGCTTCCACTATGTGAGCTTTTGGTTGCTTGTTATCCAGGATTTTGGCATTGTGCAGTGAGTGATCTCATTATTAAATTTACCATTTATTTTCTGAACTTTAATGGATTTATTTTAAACTGCCACATAGGTTTCCTTCTGTAGCAAGGGCACTGACAGGAGCTTGGAAAGAGAAGCCACTTTCTCCTATGCAATTCATTGTCAAAGGTGGTATCCCTCTACCAATGTTTGTACAAGTTCGCATCACCAGCAGAAAATAATGGTGTTTCTTCTGTTACTCTGCCAGATGAAGTCCCAGCAAAGAATTGGCTATGACATTAGGAGACTTATGAAAAGCCATCTTTTTCACATCACTCCTAAATTTCTTGGGACAAAGGATTGAGGTGTTGAGCAAGATTCAGGGCACAATGCCCGAGTTCCAGTTTCTGTTTTCATTTTATACACAAATTTATTTTTTCTAAGGGTGGAACATTTGTTATATGATGAACACATTTCTGTAATACAGCCAAATCAAAATTGATGTGATGTTTCAGTGATCCTATTCCTGAGATCCTCTGCTTGCTGTTTTTCTACAGGAGTTATCTACACAGCAGATATTCTTGACCGGGAGACAACCAAATCCTACTGGTTGACAGTGTATGCGACTGATCATGGTGTTGTCCCACTCTACACTACCATTGAAGTCTACATTGAAGTGGAGGACATGAATGACAATGCCCCCCTCACCTCTGAACCTATCTATTACCCAACTGTCATGGAAAACTCCCCAAAGGATGTATCTGTCATTCAGATCCAAGCCCAGGACCCTGACTCCAGCACTAATGAAAAGCTGACTTACCGGATTACAAGTGGAAATCCCCAGAACTTCTTTGTAATCAATCCCAAAACAGGTAACAAAATCCTGCTGCTTTACAGTGGCAGGAAAATGCAATTTAAATGTTTATCAGCTTGCTCCCCTTCAGGATCTGCTGGTGTTACATTGCTTTCCAAACCTCTGATTTCTGGTTGGTTATGAGTCTAAAGCATCTTGTATGTGTCTAAAGCATCCTCTTGTGCATCGGTACATGAACGCACTGGCAGAAGACATGCTGCAGATTTGCTGCTGCAGCGATCACTTCTGTAGGTCACCAAGTAGCTTTTGGCTGTTGTGTCTTCCCTGGGCCTGTAGGGATGAGACTTTGCTGCACTGAGTTTGCAGAGCAATGCTAGGAAGCATATTCAAGTTGTTGCAATTTATGGAGTAGCTTCTTCTCCTTTATAAGCTGGCACGTCACCGCTGAAATGAGTGGCATAACAGTTGTCCAACACATGTAATGAGGCTCCACATTACAGTAGCTGGATGTAATTCTACAGCTAGTTTTATAGAAAAAGACAGTTTAGGTAATCTAAAATCCCCTCTGGCCTTTAAAAAAAAAAAAAAATCTATGTGTTTGCATTGATTTCTAACGGCTGGGGATGTAGCCTGTGGGTGCAGTGTCGCAGATACAGTTTTAAGTTAAAGTGCTGCTGTTGGCTGGCCTGGCCCTGCCACGGTGGAGTGTTGCACCCACACAGACCGGCGCTGCACACCCCTCTGCCCTCGATGTCTTTGCTGAACCAGCCATCCCTGGTGCCTGGCTGATGAAGAAATGGCCACAGGAGACATAGCCCAAGGTTCTGGATGCTCTTCTGGGTACCTACTTGTGCTTGGCCACAGGTGGTCCTTGCTCTGGAATGTACCCAGCCATCCCATGCTCTTTATCTGGCTGGTGGGGACCCTCCAGCATGGTCTGGAGCTAGAGAGTTGGGAGGCTCTTTTGCATCAGTAGACTGATCTTTATCAAAGTAGTTGAGTGGTTTCACACAGCTCTTAATGCTGGTTGTAATGCTTATTTTGTTCTGGGGTTTAGATTTAAAAAAAAAAAAAAAAAAAAGAAAAACAAACTATTTACGTCTGCTGCAAATTTCTAAACAGCTAGAAAACCAGAAGGAATAGACCTGAGAGGGAGCGTCTTTAATTTGGTGTAGGAAAATGACATTCTCTAAATAGGCTTTCAGCATTTGGCTGGGCAATCCTGTTGCAGTGTGTAGCATAAGAAGGGGTCAGGATCTTTTCAAGCATAAGCCCAGGTGAAGAATCAGGGAGCATGTGTAATCACTGTGTTCAATCTGCTGAGCCCTAAGGCACATATTTCACTTATTTTTAACACTTGCAATGGCCGAAGATGGCTCTTCCATCTGCATCCCTTCTCCCCCTCCCCACCTCATAAATCCCATCTGGGCGAAGCGGCAGAAGTTAGGACTCCACAATGTTTAAGGCTTGTGCTTCCCTCCTGTCAGGTCCTCCCTCAGAGCTACCTGCCTGGCACAGCTCCGCTTGCCCGCACGGCAGCCGGGCTCAGGCCGTGCCGAGGACCGGAGCCGGGCACGCTGCAGCCCCACAGCGCCCTAGCCTGGTGGCACGGCGTGTGAGGAGGCTCTTCCTCCTGCCAGAGTGGCGGGCAAGGATGATTTTCCCTAACAAGGAGATCTTTTTTCTCACAGTTAATGCTGAAGATGGTTCATCTTCATTTTGTGCTCAGGAAATTGATGAGTACTTAAAGGCTTCAGGATGAGTAACGTTGCTGCTTGGGCAACCCCTGAAGGGCCCCCATTGCATTCAGTGAACATCCTGACTGGTGGCTGACTGTGATTTGTCATAGAGGGGATAAACCGTTCCCTTCTATCCACCTTGGTGCCAAACACAGAGCAGTGAGATCTGGGCAAGGCAGCCTCTTTTAATTTGTTTCTGCCTTTGAAAATTACGGGGCTGATAGAGCATGTGTGCATGGAGATACTTTGTCCCAAAAGGGAGGTTTGTCATTTTGAACACAAGGACTTTGTCCTCCCTTGGAAAGAAAGTATTGACATGTGGTGAGCAATGCCTGCCCAGCCTAGACATCGGGAGGCTTTCTCCCAACAGGATGCTGATGTCTGAGGAATAAAAGCGTAATGGATTTTCCTGGAGAGTGCCCCCAGAGGTCTCTGGCCAGGCTCCTTTCAGCCATCTCCCTGCAGTGTACTAGTTTCTTTAAAACACCAGTTTACACTCTGGTTGTTTTATACAGGTGACTTCTGCACACGCAGAAGAGGTTTGTAGCATGCCAGCCCCTTATGCTCACTGGGATTCAGCACAACAATAACTCATTTAGCGCTTTGCACAGCAGCCCTAAATGTAGCAGTGTGCTGTATAATCAAGACAAAAAGGTTTAACATGAACCCAAGTATGCAACAGTTGACACATACGTGGGTTGAGCAAGCGTGCTCCTGCTGCTGGGGGAGGGCAGTCATTTCTGAGAAAGGGGATCTTTTATTTTCTGTGTCACTTTGGAAGTTTAAGCAGTGCCAACAAACTGACATCTCACTCCTATGACTAATCAGGTGCTGAGAGGCAACACGAAGGCAGCATCCCACGTTTTTTACATCCTTTCATGGGAAGAGGCAGAAGTTGGCCTTGACTAGAGATGGGAGTTGGATGGAGAGTATGGATACTCTTGGGGTACTAAAAAGTTTCTCCAATGCTTGACTGATTGGGCTTTGATAATGTGCTCGGGGTTAAACCTCTCACTGGATTTGCAGCCAGAAGTGAGTATCCCCTAAACCCAGATTATTCTGAGGTTCGGGAAAGCAGATGTGAGAGAGGAGTTTGGCATCCCTCACTGCAAAGAAGCATGGATCGTGGTTCACAGATCATTTCCTTAGATCACCTAGTTATATTGCAGCAAGAAATCTCCCACTATTACTGGAGAATAAGGCCTCCTGTCCCCTCCTTCTTATTTTTAGGACTTGGTGCTTTGTACCAACAAAGTTGGGTTTGTTACACAGTGCAAAGAGTGCACAGGTGCACAGGGCATGTCATAGCTTATGGTGTGTGTCTGGTGGGTGGGTGGTGTTTCAGACATTTCTAACTTGACTCCAGAAAATGCGGTTATCTGGGAAAGGTGGGTAACCCTGTCTTCTTTTGGGATGGTCCTTGCCATCACGAAGAGGAATGCCCCGGGCGTTGCTGCACCCTGCTCATGGCATGCCTCTCTCTGCCTTTGCACAGTCTCATGCTCCTCAGTGATTGCTGAAGCATGCTTCCAGCTGTGTTTGCCTTCCTCTGGAGCTTCCTTTCAGCTGCTTTGTAGCTCATGCAGGTCATGCAGATTTCTGGAGGCACATGGACCACTGCGTGTGTTGCCATCTGATCAAGGCACCAAACAGGGACAGAGGGACTTCAGGTTTTGTTCCTGGTTCTGATACGACATAATAACTGCAGCCAAATCTTACAATCTTTGTTTATTATCCAGATAGTGGAAGGAACAACATTCCTTGTATGCCGTGTCTGTAGGCAGAAAAAACCTTTTAGTAGATGACCTGCCACATCCTACATTTTTGTAGACTGGCACAGCTCTGGGTGGCTATTTTAGGTACTGTTGAACTGCAAACACATCACATACATTTGGATCTGTTTGAAAACAGTTTTCAGTCCTTTCAGAATTATCACCTGCGATTTGCTCTGTAGATTTTGGAGAGAGGAAGAGTTGCTCCTGCCAAGGGCTGCAGAAATCTGCTCAGAGAAGGACTTTGTCACTGAAGTCACCCTGGGTGACCTGTGCTTTTGCCAGGGGCTGGCTCTGCTGCAGGAGGGCAAATGCACGTGGACAGCAGAAGCTCTTCCCAGTGGGTTTGGGGGTTATATGGGTGCTGTGGGGTAGGAGGATGGGAACATGAGCACAGCTGGATGGGTATGCAAAGGCAGCATGGGGAGCCTCCCATGGTTTTTGTTTTCTCACCTTCATTTTTTTTTTTTTTTTTTAGCATACAGCTGATCATCAGCCTGCGCCTCAGCATTCACTTTTATTTCATGAGCTTATTTACATAGGTACAAGCACTAAGTGAATAATGTAGCACATGAGTACATGTGAAACCATAAACCATCCATTCTTGAGAACAAGGCAGCCTTGTTCTGCAGTTTGATGGAGACTGCTCCCTAAGTTTAGCAGGTCCAAGACAGCAAATTGGGATTTTTCTTTATAGCGTGCAAGAGGTATCACAAGGCAGAGTTTTGTGAGGGGGGGAAGGTAACATGTTTTTTAAGTAGCTGAAGTGATTCTTCACGTTACATGATCACAGGGGAAGGCATCCCCTGCGCATTGGTTTCCCAGCCTTGTCATGCACCCAGCAGTGATGGAAGCATTCCCAGTGCTTGGCCCCTCTAGCCACCACGGGTCGGCCTAAACCTTGGTGTGGCTGCTGGGGGAGCCAGGGATTTCCCTCTTAGCCTGACTTTTATGCTTGGGAGGGCTCAAGCTTGTTTTGGCAGAGCATGAGGTCACAGGGCTTTCTTTGCTCCTTGGTGGGTGATGTGAGATGGGGCTGAGAAGGAGGAGGAGGAGGAAGGCAGAGCTGCGGGTGGAGTGTCTGGGCTGGCCGGCTCCCAGCTGAGCCCATGGGAGTGTCACGGCCACCCTCAGCTGAGTGAGTTATTTTGGGGTAAGAGGCATGTGGAAGAAGGTAAGTAAAACAGATGATGGAGTTAATAAAAAAAAGTATGATTGATTAGGGCTGTAAATTCTTATTTTTATTTCATGTATATGGTTGTTAATTTCACAGCACAGCGCAGGGGTAATTTACTGTGTTGATTTATTACTTTTCTGTGTTCTGAAGAAAACAATGAATTTTAATTCAAACTGTTACATTATTTTGTTTAGTGTTGCACATATATTGGACAAACCCAATAAGCTTCTCTTCAGTTTTATGTAGATTAAGAGATATTTTAACTAACATGCCAAAAGACAAAATTTCACTCTCTTGCACATTGATGTCAATGAATTTACTCTAACATTATGTTGGTGTGTCTGAAAAACTCAGTTAAACCTTGCTTAGT